AAAAAAAAATAAAAAAAAAAAAAAAAAAAAAAAAAAAAAAAAAAAAAAAAAAAAAAACAGACTGTGTATTAGCTAGTAGGATAAATCTAAACTAATTAAGCAAAGGAATTATCAAGTAAAATTATCTGGACCATGATCGGTTGCGTGGCCGGCTCGATGTGACGGTTGTGCTGAGTGTTTTTTCGCGTGCTTCCTTTATCAGTCCTCTGTCAATCTTTGATTCCTAAAGTATCCGTAACAAGGACTCACACTACTTTGCCCTTTTTTATTGAAAAACTTGGGCGAATCTCCAATAGAAGTCGATCGTCCCATCCAATCAAATTTAATTGTTTCTTATGATTTTTTTTTTTTTTTCATACATCCAATGCACGCGCGATTTATTTGTGTTGAGATGTAGCAAAAAATTTATCACGTTAGTTTAAAAATATTTTGCCTATGAAGGAAAAATATGAGCATTTTTTAATCGGATCTGCAAATACAAACCTACATTTATTTGTGTATCGTGTGCAATACGTGAAGCAATCATTTTTACGAATGAAAAGCAATACATCATCTTGAAAAAATTTTACGAAAAGACATTATTGCGTATGCGACCTCGATGGACGATTGTGCTTCTTCGATGAAACGTTCAAAGTGCATGTGTACATGCGCACGTGTCCTCGAGAACCGACATCTGATATCACTACTGTTACTGTCGTTTATCATCCCTAAAAAAAAAAAAAAAAAAAAAAATATACATGCATGTATTATATACATATAAAAATCACCCTCCACGCGCCACCATCGTACTGTTGTTGTATGTCACTGTCATATGTTCGCTGTTATGATGTCTCCACTCACGAGTTTGTAATCTCTCCTCAAAAAACCTCCAATGTTCCCTTCTATCATTTCGAAGAAAAAATAATTCCATACCTACTTTTCTCTCGATGATCCGAGAGAAAAAAAAAAAAAAAAAAATGCCTTTAAATCCATTTGCAGCTGCACGCAAACGAATTCAACACGAACTGCGCCCTGTACGAGTTGTACACCTACGCGAGCAAATACAACGAGCAATTGACCGTGACCCTCGAAGAGGACGAATTCTCGACGAAGCAGAGGCTGGCGTACAAGCTCGAGCAGGTGCACAACATAATGGCCGCGGACGGCAATCCCTGATGTCCCGCCTACACGGGCAAACACTCAAACAAGCCCGCCCGCAACGAGCTGCCCTGCTGAGGCACGAGGAACACGTCGACGCTAGGCCGCAGTTCCTCCAGCAGCACTGCAGCCGGTGGCGCTGTCCCCGTCGACGATTACTGGTACGTCTCCTCGGGCATGCTCGAGGCCGAGCACCAGTATCTCCTTGCCTCGCCACCGCCCGTCAAGCGCGCCGAACCCACGGCTCCGAGTGCGAGTCGCCGATAAGCGCCCGACGATCAAGCGCCCGTCGTCGTCGTCGTCGTCGTCGTCGTCGTTGCTCTATATATCATTTTATAAACCATCGCCTCCGACCAAGTGCATATATTTGGTGTTTTATTCCGTAATGTGTGCGTAACTCGTGTGCGTCGTGTCGTGGCAGCGTGACCAATCAGCGACGTGCCTGCGTGTTTTTTAGCCGTGAACTCCGTGCCGTAAGGATTTTCCACTGTAATACAGGGACGCTTCGTCGTGAGCGCGAGTGAGAAAACAAAGAGTTTTTCGGCCACTGGGTCTTGTATACCTACCGTGTGTAAATCGCGCTGCGCCGATGTGCGCGGCAAATTTTGTACATAGTGATACGCGTTGGAGTGCGAATCTTTATCATTCATCTGTATTTAGATTTATAAATGAAGCAACAACAAATTGAGGCGTGCGACGATGAGGGAACGGCGATGCAGCATCTCATTTCGGGATCGTGTGTGCGTGTGTATTTATATTTGTTTTTTGATAAAACGAATGAGCCACGTTTTTTGAGTGCACGCAACGACCAGAGATCATCTGCGAGATCGTATACGGGCGCTCGGGTTCTTTTTGACGCGGCGCGCCTGATCCCTAATTGTGGATGGCAAAACCATAGTTTTTAAATGAAACGACTGTAACGTGCGAAGAGCCGCGCGTTTTCCATCAGTTTACGAGTTTACCCTCCGAGGGAGTAAATTTTTGTATTATTTTTATTGTAAAAAAAAAATTTTGTAAAGCATTTTTCCTTAACGAAAGCATCGCGCACTGGTTTTTTTTATCATTTTATTTTTTACGTCGTGTATTGAAGAATAATATCTAGATCCAAGCGTAGAGGAGTAAATTAAGCAGACTGATCAATTGATTTTTTTTTTTTCTTTTCGATTTTACGTGTGTTTTCAGCACGAGCCACTGCCAAAACGATTTCAATTTATCAAAGTGGCACGAAATTTTTTTAACAAATGAAAATCGACATTTTTATCCACACGAAAATTGCTCGAACAAAGATGGAACAAACGAAAACAAATGAACAAAGAATAATTAAAGTGAAAAAAAAAATTGATCGTTGCGTGATAAGAAAATAAATAAAAATAGTTGCATAAGTCATCGATAATCGCTAATGTCTATGAACGACCGATTGATGCGGAAATACTATAATATTAATATTAATTATCATTATATATACATGAATGGTATGTGTACATATATAACACACTTATTACGCCGACGCGATGCGTGTATATGTATATATTTAGGCTAGAAAAAAATATCATCGACGTTAAAATAGAAAAAAAAAAATAATAATACTAAGAATCAACATTTCCCGCTCTTCTCCCAAATGTTTACGAATTGACAAGAAATCGTTTATCTTTTTTCAAGGTAGGACTAACTTTTGAAAATTATCTAGAGCCGAATTTTTTCGTACAAATGAATCAGTTGTACATTATTGTATCCTAGGATTTTTCATTAGCTGCTCAAAGAGTTGAGCGAGGCTCAAAATTTTTTTCAAAGTCAGTCACTGTCTATCAAGCATTCCGAATAAAACGAAAAGTCAGAGCGCTATTGTCGCGAGTCGTGGGAGACGGGAAGGGAAAAAAAAGCAAAGGAGAACAAAAAGCCAATAAATAATTGTAAGGGAACACTTTGAGAGCAAGAGGAAAGGGAATATCTGTATGTGTATCAAAGCGAAACCAGATGCATTTTTTTCGAAAAGTAAAAAAAAACAAAAAAAAAAAAAAAAAAAAAAAAAAAAACAGACTGTGTATTAGCTAGTAGGATAAATCTAAACTAATTAAGCAAAGGAATTATCAAGTAAAATTATCTGGACCATGATCGGTTGCGTGGCCGGCTCGATGTGACGGTTGTGCTGAGTGTTTTTTCGCGTGCTTCCTTTATCAGTCCTCTGTCAATCTTTGATTCCTAAAGTATCCGTAACAAGGACTCACACTACTTTGCCCTTTTTTATTGAAAAACTTGGGCGAATCTCCAATAGAAGTCGATCGTCCCATCCAATCAAATTTAATTGTTTCTTATGATTTTTTTTTTTTTTTCATACATCCAATGCACGCGCGATTTATTTGTGTTGAGATGTAGCAAAAAATTTATCACGTTAGTTTAAAAATATTTTGCCTATGAAGGAAAAATATGAGCATTTTTTAATCGGATCTGCAAATACAAACCTACATTTATTTGTGTATCGTGTGCAATACGTGAAGCAATCATTTTTACGAATGAAAAGCAATACATCATCTTGAAAAAATTTTACGAAAAGACATTATTGCGTATGCGACCTCGATGGACGATTGTGCTTCTTCGATGAAACGTTCAAAGTGCATGTGTACATGCGCACGTGTCCTCGAGAACCGACATCTGATATCACTACTGTTACTGTCGTTTATCATCCCTAAAAAAAAAAAAANTCTTTGATTCCTAAAGTATCCGTAACAAGGACTCACACTACTTTGCCCTTTTTTATTGAAAAACTTGGGCGAATCTCCAATAGAAGTCGATCGTCCCATCCAATCAAATTTAATTGTTTCTTATGATTTTTTTTTTTTTTTTTTTTTTTTTTTTACTATATGCTTTTTAATTTTACAGAATGGAGAACCGGTGCCTCTGGAAGGCTCATCCTGTACGATGAAGACTCAACCACAAAGACCGAGGGCGAGTGGAAGAAGCGCAACACACTGAACCACTACCGCGTACCCGAGGGCGCGTCTCTCAATTTGGTCTCTAAACAGTCCTCTATCTACAACCTTTCGATTCTGTCCGAAAAGACCGACAAATCTCACAAATACGAGACCCTGAACCTCAGCAAGTTCAGTTCAGCTAGCCCACCACTGTCTCGCGCCACCTCGCCGCTGAATCACGATCACGACGGTGGTCTCAAAGTCTGGCACTTGGTCAAGCACCACGACAACGACACGCAGAAGGAGGGCGAGCGTGGCAACAAAATGGTCTCCGAGATCTACCTCACGAGGCTGTTGGCCACCAAGGGTACCTTGCAAAAGTTCGTCGACGATCTCTTCGAGACCATATTCAGTACGGCGCATCGCGGATCGGCTCTGCCGCTAGCCATCAAGTACATGTTCGACTTTCTCGATGATCAAGCGCTCCACCATCAGATCACCGATCCCGAGGTCGTGCACACCTGGAAGAGCAACCTGCTGCCTCTCAGGTTCTGGGTGAACCTCATCAAGAATCCAAATTTCATCTTTGACATTCACAAGTCGAACATCGTCGACGCGTGCTTCTCCGTCGTCGCCCAGACCTTCATGGACAGCTGCTCTACGTCAGATCATAGATTAGGTAATTTTTTGAGACTTGATTCCTTATTGTATTACAAAATCAAACAATTTTGCGAGAATAAAATCTAACGTGATTAATTTTTTTGTTTTACAGGCAAAGATTCGCCAAGTTCCAAATTACTATACGCCAAGGACATTCCAGTGTACAAAGAATGGGTAGAACGTTACTATTCGGATATAAAACTAATGCAACCCATATCCGATCAAGATATGAACGCCATGCTCGCAGAAGAATCAAGAGTAAGTCAACGAGTTCTTTTTGTGTGATAAATGAAAAAAAAAAAAAAAAAAAAAAAAAAAAAAAAAAAAAAAAAAAAAAAAAAAAAAAA